GTCTTGGAAGACGACAAAATCAAAGGCGTACAATCCTGCAAATATTTTGGGGTCACTTTCAACAAGAAGGGAAATAGCGCAGAAGAAATCAGGGAAAGAATAAACAAGGGCAGAGCAGCGACCCGTGCCTTAAAAAACAATTCGACGAGAAACCAAAAAACACATTTACGGTAGTATAGTCCAAAGTATTACACTTTATGGTTCGGAAGTATGGGACGTCACCAAAGCTAATAGAAACAAACTTATGACGTCAGAAATGGTTTATCTGAGATGAAGCTGCGGTAGATTCAAACTGGAGAGAGTTAGAAACGAGCAAATAAGAAACGAAATGAAAATGGAGCGAAATATTAATGATGGCATAGAAAGACAACAATTAATCTGGTTCGGACATGTTAAAAGAATATCAGAGTACAGATGGCCTAGAAGAGTACTGGAATGGATCCCTCCTGAAAGAAGAAAGAGAGGACGACCACGGAGAAGTTGGCGCAATGATATTGATATAGCAATAGCAGCAACAGACTTAGAAGAGGCAAATGCATATGACAGAAAAAGGTGGAAATTGGGGTTAATAATCTGTTATTATATATTTATATATATATATATATATATATATATATATATATATATATATATATATATATATATATATATATATATATATATCGACGGTTTATAAAGATACCGACGCATATGCTAATTTGTAGTTTCGAGTAATAGCGGTTGAAAGAAAAGACTTAAAGTCTGTCTTGGCAAAAATGCCCTATTGCAATCAATTTTTAATCTATTGAAGTAATTTTTTGTAATTGAATATATTTTTTTATTATCTACCACTAGAGGGAAAAAAATTATGAAAAATCTTCAAATTCAGTAAAAAATTTGCAGTTGCGTCGTTATCTCATTAAACATGTACCGTTATGATAACAAAAGTTTTGCCCATTGCCGACTTAACTTACAGTTTCCCTATGTTATTTTAATGGCAATTAAAAATAATATCCGAAATTGTTTCTTAGGCTTCTTACACGAACTCAAAATTAATTTTTTTTTAAATTGCAGAAGCTTTCTCGTAAGGTGACCACGGAAGGCTTTTTAGATAATATATTAAGTCTTTTAAGAGTAGTGAGTAGACCTGCAGAGTATTACATAACCCCATAAATAGAGGGAAAAAACGAAAGTTCTATAAGAAATTTATTTAGTATATTGGTAACACTAGTAACTAACCTAAGTTTGTTAACACTAAGCAAAACTAAGACTTAAACAAAAACATTTTCAGGAACAAAATTTAAACTACTTAAGCTTACTTAACAAAAATTAACAAATCATAAGTTTTCATAAAAAACTCTATACACTTCAGGAATTACACCCCTATCTATTAAATTAATTAGGGCCTTTACTTTACTTCCCTTAACTTTAATTTTTTTAGTGTAAAGAGCCGGTACCTCCTCATTGATAGCAGTAGAAGTTAAAGGTCGCCAATTTTCCCTTTCCCATTCAGAACCATGGTTAGTTTTGAAGTAAATTGTCTGCGGTTCATTTTTATTCACTTTTAGCATAGATGTTTGGCTACTTTTAAAATCATTAAGCTTCACTGCTGGTAACATTTTAAAATTTTTGAAGTCTTTGAATGACATTTCAACCACTTTATAGGGACTGGTTTTTCTAGCTGCTCTTATGAGCTGTATGTATTGTTGTGGCAAATAAATAGGGCCAGCTTCTAGAGCCTTTTTAATTGTCCTTTCGATACATGCATGGACGGCATCACCTTCATTCTGAGTATGCCCTGTTACTAAAAATTTATGAGTAATACTGGATATATAGTCGAATTTCTTAAGAGCATGATAGTACATTCGACGTACATATTGGTTCTTTTGTTGCCCCGCGCAATTGTCAGAATAAAAAAATTATATCCAAAGGTTTTTTTAATTTTTAGCGAATAGTCTTTCAAACTTTCTAAATATTTCCAAAGGCATGAAGCAATTTCACATGCTCCTCTCTTCCCATCTGTTTCTGTCCATGTGTAAAAATAAGTCTCCATATTTTTTATGTTACAAACAGTCAAATCATACATCGCTACTTTTGAGATGTAATAAAAGGATGATATTTCACCCTGTGGGAAAGGCAAGACTGCCTACAGGTCGTAAACAGAGACAACTGTTGATTCTGATGTTTCCTTTTTGTCCGTGTCTTTGCCTAATCTGGCAAGATCTTTTTCTAAAATATGATTTTCGTATTCTATTTGAATATCTTTTTTCTTGTCTTGTGGTGTATTTTTATAGATGACACAATGGTCACATTGATCTTTTTTCGGTTTGTAAAAGCTGATGTTATAGGTCTGAAATATTTTATAATATTGGTGATAAGACAAAACTTTTTCCCCTGAGGATTGGTTATATTTTGCATAGTCTCTGTGCAAATCTGCAACTGTCTTGCACCCCTCTATATACTCTCTAGAGGTTTCCTTTCGACAATAGTGGCTTTCCACTCTTGGAATGCTATTTATATGCTTGCGCACATTCTCAATATCTTTTTTAGGTATTAAGTTTTTTCTGTCGGGAATTTTGCATCCTCTTTTCTCTCCTGCTAAAACTCCTGTATTTTTGTCAACCTTGGAAAAGGTTGTTCTCAAGCACCTGTCGGTTACGTCCAGAGTATTTAAAAAAAAATCTTGCAAACTCTGATTTTTTCTCCTTCAGAAGTGTTTAAAAAAAACATGTGGTTAAGTGACCTATTTATTTTTGGGTTCTGCACTACCCTCCGGTACTTCGGATTTAAACTTGTGGTATTGTTGTGTATAAATGCCCTCTGGGCTTGTAAATTTCCCATAGCCCAGTACTCGTCAAATAACAGCTGCCTCTGTGAATTGTCAAATTTTTGCGAACATTTTAATACACATTTTTCCCCACATGCCGGTTTTAGTACCCTCTTTCTTACATGATTTTTTTTTCTGGGGGTTATATAATCCAAGCCAAGGTTCCTCCTTTTTTTCGCGATGGCCTGAGCTGAGCCTTGTCCCTTTCTTTTCTTCTTAATATTATTTTCTGGGGAGGCCTTGGAGGGTAAATGAAATTGTTCAGCTGAAATCTTCAAATCAATAGGCCTAATTTCACCACCATCTTCAGTTTCATAATTTCTAGTAGAAAGTACGGAATAAACCTTACTACTTACGGAAATATCTAAAATATCATTAACAGTCTTTTTATTCTCTTGGTTTCCATCGTTTTCAGCATTGACCTCAGATGCTGGCTTCAATTCTAGGTACGTCAAATTTTCTGTTTCCATTTCTGGTTCTGGATCAGCTACGGGGACTAACGGTACAGGATTTGGAAGAGCAGCAACCCACTCTGATGTACCTAAAAAATATTAAATGATTATTGGTTCTGGAATAATTGATAGTATTTATTACTTACGTTTTTGAAATTCTGAAGTGGATTCTGCTGAATTATTGATTGAAACCTCCCATACTTCTGAATCTATAGAAGAGTCATTATTATTTTTCCCATTTCTTGTGGAGTCTGGTAAAATTTTTTGTTTCGCCAATTTGAATATAAGTTTACTTCGACTATTCATTTTAATACCTACAACACCAAAAATAAAAATTGGTTTTACAGTTTATAATGGTATTAGTATATTTCAATGTCTACTACATTAAATTTTAAAATATTTATTTTAAAAACAAAGCCTGAAATTTATTTAAATTTAATAAAGAAACTACCTCTCAGCAGTATACGCCACTATTTTAGATAATCAAAATAACACTAACTCGCTCTGTTTTAACTCGTTACTGACTTATCTGCATGAAATTCAATTACATTCAAAAATCATTGTAATTAAAAGAGTACTCTTTAAAAATATTGTGACCCAACTGTAAAAAAGATCATTATATTTTCAATAGGAACGCTAAAAAATACAGTGAGTTTTAAAAATATAGTGACGCATTTACAAGAAGTGTAAAATATTTTAATAAGAACGTTAAAAACTATAGCGAATTTAAATATTTAGTGACGCATCTGCAATGAGAGTCATTCTATTTAAATTAAAGCGTTAAACAGCAGAGGAATTTTTAAAAATGTAGTGACGCTTCGACCAATATAACATTTTACTCACCAAAATCTATTACCTTCCTCACTGAAGATTTATGCACGACTGACGGAAGGTATGACGTGACACTATCTTCTGCACAAAATGGCTCAGATTCGCGCCAAAATCTAACACGCAAAAATTTTCAACGCCTCCTATTAGTACATTTTCAAAGTAACAGAAGTGTCGCTTTCATATAAAAATAGAGCAAAAAATTAGGAAAATTTTGATACCAAAAACTCAAAAATCGATTTTTTGCAGATACGTCGGTATCTTTATAAACCGTCGATATATATATAATTGAATAAACATACAACCGCCAGACTCTGTAACGTTCAATCATTCGGCCGGCATCACCGTTTGCCGCCTGCCAAGGACGGTAGTCCCTGAAATGGCCCATAATTTCAGTCAAACAAAGTAAGTAATAATGAAAGTAATACAGCGTTTACCGGCAATACGTGTAATGACTAGACTTTTCACGGAATGATATGTTTCACCTATTGCCTGCGACATATACATAAGTTAAATATAGTTTTGCAAAGCATATGTAAATAAATCAACGAAGAAAAACTTTTTACTTAAAAAAATAGACATCTTACATTTGAAACAAAATGGATTACGATTGTAGTCCACACGACCAACGACGTTAGTACACTATACGCTACCTTAGGGTTAAAAATTAGGAAAAATATTAAACATGTTCTGTTCCACAGGTTTAGATATCCAATATCCTAAACCAGCTTCCTCAAAAGCTTTATAAAATATTTTTTTCACAGCCGAATAATTAACCACACATTCTTTAGCGTGTGCTACAGTTAGTGGTAAATTTTGGTCCTTTAAAATTCTGGATAATCGTCCATATAATAAGGTATATCTGTTAGCTAAACTATGTTTACAAATCGTGGAAATACTTTGCCTTGGCTTACCCATATCACATATCAATATTTCAGGTTCTTTCATGCCCAAAAACCAAATCACAGAAAAATCTGGAGCACTTTTTGGTATGCGTTCCTCAATAGATGTTACCATTAACATATCTGGTTTATTTATGCGAAATGGTGGCGGTAAGTCATCTAATCTATCTACAATCCTTCCGTAAAGTGCTCTACTTAAATGCTCTTTATTCATTTGGCTGCCAACTACCACTGACCTTAAGTAGACAGGATCAATAAAATGAAGCAAAAGAGATCCTTGTAATCCCAAGACGTTCCATTTGCAAATTTTATCAGAACAGGACATAGTCTTCAGGGGTTCTCCCTGTTTAATTCCATCCCAAGTTTGAATGACTGGATCTTTAACAGGTATTGAACCTTCGCCAGATTCTAACTTACTTCTTAATAGACCACAAGTTGTCAGATTTGATATTCCGCTATTATAAATAGTGGCATCGCCACAAGGAGATTTGCTTGTATATAAATGAAACTCAATTCCTTCCTTTAAGCTATAACCATTCCCATAAATCTTTGGTTCAAATATCGAGTTTTTACTAGTACTATCAGAGAGTAGCAGATCTAGCTGGTCATAAAAGTAGAAAAGTAAACATCTTCGGGATAAAATTTCTGCATGCATATCATTGAGTGCGGTTCCACTTAAACATATATTCTTTCCAGAGATACACTTTGTACCAGTTGCCACACATATTACTTCAGCAGTTGAAATATCTGAATCTTTCGTCATCACAATACCTAAAAGAAAATAAAGTCACATTAATAATGGTAGGACTCAGAAACATAACAGCGTTTAAGAAGAGGTCATTGTAGAAAGTATTAAAGCAGCAGTTTAATTAATTAACTACAAAGACAATAATAAAATATTAAATGATTACATATGAAACATTCTAAAGTCAGAGGTAGAAAAAGCAATCAATAAGTTGAAAAATAGAAAATCTCCTGGCGCAGACAAGATCACCGCAGAAGTTTTAAAAGAGACTGGAGATGTTGGAGTCAATGTTATGCATATGATCTGCAAAAAGATTTGGGAAACCGGAGAGTGGCCCAACGACTGGACAACATCTACTTTCATCCCTATATTCAAAAAAGGAACTCCGCTAGATTGCAGCAACTACAGAACGGTAACCCTAATATCCCATGCAAGCAAGGTTCTACTTCATGTAATACATGAAAGATTAAAAGCTTTGCTATTGCCTCAGATATCAGAAGAACCAGCGAGATTTGTCCCAAAAAAAGGCACAAGAGAACACATCCTTAATGTCAGACAGCTAATCGAAAAAACTCGTGAATTCAATACTCCTATGCTTATGTGCTTGTGGATTACACAAAGGCCTTCAATAAAGTCAAATGGCAGCAGCAATGGTCCATACTAGCGGAAATGGGAACACCCCACCACCTAATTCAACTAATTAGAAGTCTATATGAAAATAATAAGTGCACAGTAAAAATAAACAACACTCATTCCGATCATTTCAGAACAGAGGCAGGTGTCAGGCAGGGATGCATAATCTCGCCAACTCTGTTTAATATATACAGCGAACGCATTATGCGAAAGGTACCAGACGGATGGAAGGGCGGAATATCAGTGGGAGGTCAAAAAATCAGTAACTTGAGATATGCTGATGATACTTTAATAATCGCGGCAAATCAGGAAGAAATGGAAGACATAATGAGATGTTTGGATGAAAAAAGCAAAACATATGGACTAAAGCTAAATAGGAGTAAGACAAAGAGATACGTAGAAGGTTGACTATTGCTAGAACAGCCATGATGACACTGATAGCAATTTGGAAAAATTGTAGCATAACAATACATACAAAACTAAGTCTGGTAAGGGCGCTCATTTTTTTCATAGCCACATAATATGCATCCGAAACGTGGACCTTAAAGAAAGCGGATAAAAATAAACTGGACGTTTTTGAAATGTGGGTATACCGCCACATGTTGAGAATATCCTGGATTGATCATCGCACTAACGTATCGATATTAGAACAACTCAAAGTAAAGGATATATTGTTTAAACAAATACAACAGAGATATTTGCAGTATTTTGGACACATTGCTAGAAGAACAGGCACGATGGAAAAACTGATAGTCGAGGGTAGAGTTGAAGGAAAGAGACCTCCAAGCCGTTGGGTAGATCAAACAAAAATATTGATTAACCAAGGGTTACATGAAGCCGAACAACTAGCTCAGGACAGAGAAGGATGGAGGGAAATCGTAAAAAAACTGTGAAGGCCTGATGGTCTCACCACATCCCAAAAGGGATTAGGACTAAGGAGGAGGAGGAGAATGGCTCGTTAATTTACAAAGAATGGAAGGTAATAGACTAGTCAAGAATATTGCTTGGAGAGTACCTGAGGGCAAAAAAAGAGAGGAAGACCAAAAAATAAATGGAGAGATGTAGTGATGGAAGATGTCAGAGATATGGGAATCGGAGATTGGAAGCTGATAGCTCAGAACAGAAAACAATGGAAATTATCCATCCAGCAATGGGCCTAAAAGGCCTGTTAACGCTGTACATACATACATACATAACAATACGCAATGAATGTATCAATAAATGTTATATTATGAAAATATATTTCCATAATGAAATACAAGATTTCTAAAATTCCTACAACATAATATATTTTGTATAATAATATAGCAAGATTATTTTTATTCATTAAATAACTCACACAATTGATGTAACTATATTTAGATTGTTATATCAACAGTACTAGAGATGTAATATCCTTCATAAAAATAGGTAGGCTTAGATGGGCTGGACATGTGTCAAGAGCAAATGAAAATTACCCACCCAGACGAACTCTATTATCGGTCCCAGTGGGAAATAGGAGTAGAGGCAGACCACGACTGAGATGGAGGGACGGTGTGGACGAGGACGCAAGGAAGATCGGCGCGGCAAATTGGCAACGGTTGGCGATGAACAGAAACGACTGGCAAAATAGACTGGGGAAGGTCAAGGCTCAACTAGAGCTGTAGCACCACTGATGATGATGATATCAACAGTACTCTAAGCCAGGAATTTTTCATAAAACATTCCTAGCTGCCGATTGTGACGCGGAATTATTAAGATTTAAAATACCATTTGTGTCAGTTACAAAGGTAAAATAGTCATCATCAGTTGGCGCTACAGCCCTTCGTGAGCCTTGGCCTGCTTCAAAACATTCTTCCATCCTTCCCTATCGAGTGTCTGTCTTCTCCAGCCCCTCACTCCAATTTCCCTCAGATCTTCCTGTACATCGTCCAGATATCTGAGTTTAGGTCACCCCCTTCTTCTTATTCTGACCGGCCTGTTTAGCATAGTTATTTTAGTGGGATCACTCTCATCCATCCGCATAACGTGGCCTACCCACCTTAGATGGTTTATTTTGATGGTCTTCACAATATCTGCATCACCAAAAAGTCTATAGAGTTCAAAGTTATATCGCCTTCTCCACAGACCCTGTTCGTTTACTCTGCCATATATGGCCCTCAATACTTTTCTTTCAAAGACTCGTAGTAACTCTTCATCTCGGGTCGTCATTGCCCATGTTTCCGATCCACATGTGAACACTGGGCGTATTATTGTTTTATAAAGTTTGCACTTTGTTGCTATTGACATACTTCTCGCTCTTAGTTGAGAGCCCAGGCCGAAATAACAGCGGTTAGCCACGCATATTCTTTTTTTTATCTCGTTGGATGTGTTATTTTTGTAGTCTACCAGTGATCCTAAGTAGCAGAATTCTTCTACCATTTCTATCGTTTCGTGTTGCACCTCTAAGTTATTTTGTTGAATTCTTGATATGGCCGGCATATATTTAGTTTTCTGGATGTTAATCAGAAGTCCAATGTTTTCTGCGGCATTTTGGGCAAAATGTGTGAAAGCCTCCACTGCTTCATTTTGGGTTCTTCCAATTATGACGATATCATCAGCGTATGCCAGTATTTGTATACTACGGGTATATATCGTACCTTTACGGTTTATTCCCGAATCTCTCATAACTTTTTCTAACGCTAGGTTGAACAGCGTGCATGATAGCGCATCTCCCTGGCGCAGTCCTCTGTTGGTTTTAAATGGTTTTGAAACATCCCCTTGTACGCGCACTTTACATTCGACTTTCATCATTGTCATTTTAATTAATTCTACCAACCCTTTTGGTATTCCTAATTCGATTATCGCCGAATATAATTGGGACCTGTCAATAGTATCGTACGCTGCCTTAAAGTCTACGAATATGTAATGGCAGTCTATGTCGTACTCCGTCGTTTTTTCTAATATTTGTCTGATGGATGATATGTGATCAATAATTGTAGATTTGTTTTTCAAGAAGCCTCTTTGATTATATTGTCAGTATACCGTGCCAGTCGTTCGTTAAGTATCAGGGACACAATTTTGTACGCTGTATTAAGAAGGGAAATCCCTCTAAAGTTGGAACATTCAAGAACGTTTCCTTTTTTGTGTATGGGGCATATAATTCCAGTATTCCAATCTTCTGGTAACGCGCGTTCTTGCCATACCTGTATTAGTAGTTTTTGAAGGAGGGTTACAAATGTTTGACCGCCACATTTAAATATTTCTGCGGGTAGGTTGTCTGCTCCGGGTGACTTGTTTCTGGCTAGAGACTGAATTGCTTTGTTTATATCTTCAAAAGTTGGTAGTTCAGTATCCTCGTGTTCTATTTCTATATCATATCTACCTTCAGCTCTACTTTCTCCATTAAGTAGCGTACTAAAATGTTCCTGTCATCTTTCTAGTACTTCAACTCTCTCGTTTAAAAGAATTCCGTTAAGGGCCTTGACTTGATTCGCTTGTGGCTTGAAAACTTTTCTTTTTGTGTTAACCTGTTTGTAAAATTTTCTGTATCCGTGTTCTTTATTAAGGTTTTTCATTTCTTCGAACTCTTTATTGATTTGTTGCCGCTTTTTCTGTTTTTGTTTTTCCTCTCGTCTCTTTACTCGATATTCTTCAACATTGTTCCTAGTCCTTCTGTTGATCATTTTCAGATACGCGTCGTTCTTCTCTTTCGTTACTCGTTGGCATTCCTCATCAAACCAGTTGTTTCGCTGTCCTTTGGGTACTTCATCCAGCACTTCCTCTGCGGTCTCTTTGAGCGTGGTTTTCATAAACTCCCAATTTGTTTTAAGTTCAGTGGGATATATCTCACTTCTGGGATGTTCTAATATTTTACGATCTAAGCATATTTGGAAGTTTCTTACGACTTCAGTACACTTTAATTTATCAACATTATATTTGATTATTTTTGGTTTAGTTTTATCGTTCCTGGCGTTTGATATACGTGCTCTGAGACGTCCAGCTATGAGATAGTGATCGGAGTCAATATTTGCACTTCTATAATTTCTTCAGTCTAGTATATCTGATCCATGTCTTAAATCAATCAGTACGTGGTCTATCTGATTTTGGGTCTGATGATCTGGAGATGTCCACGTCACTTTATGTATACGTTTATGTTGAAAGTATGTACTACTGATCGTCATGTTCAGAGATGCTGCGAGTTTTACAAGTCTCGTCCCATTATCATTACATTCTTTGTGTATGCTGTAAGGTCCTATGGTTGGTCTGTACATCTACTCTTGTCCTATCTTGGCATTCATGTCTCCGATAATCAACTTAGCGTCATTATTGGGACACTGTCTATATGTTTGTTCTAGTTTCTCATAGAATTCTTCTTTTTCTGTGTCTGTTTTATCCTCAGTGGGGGCATGTGCGTTTATAAGACTGTAGTTAAAGAATGTTCCACGTATTCTTAAAACACATATTCTATGATCTATAGCGTCAAAACCTATTATTAGGTTATTAACTCTTTTGCTAACTACAAAGCCTAAAGATATGTTGAGTTTGATGGCAGCTATAATATATGGTATTCAGATTCTTCTGGGGAGTACCGGTCCCTTTCCATCGCATCTCCTATATAGCTGTTATGTCCATATTATATTTCAATATAAGGTTGAATGTTCGAATAATTAAACTTTGAGGGTATACAAGGCACATATCGAACACGGTGATTAATTTAATCTTGCCCAAGTACTTTCGATCAATAGATCATCTTCAGGGGCATTTCGTCAATTGTGGCCTATCCGACATAGTAGAATGTCATAAATGTAAAATCTGGACATAACAATACAAAATACACTACACTAAGACAAACAAACACTTTAAAATTTATATGGAGAAGCTACATATTGTGAAGAAGCCGGAGACAGAATTTCTATTCTGTCTCCGGCTTCTTCACAATATGTAGCTTCTCCATATAAATTTTAAAGTGTTTGTTTGTCTTAGTGTAGTGTATTTTGTATTGTTATGTCCAGATTTTACATTTATGACATTCTACTATGTCGGATAGGCCACAATTGACGAAATGCCCCTGAAGATGATCTATTGATCGAAAGTACTTGGGCAAGATTAAATTAATCACCGTGTTCGATAGTTGCCTTGTATACCCTCAAAGTTTCATATTATATTTGTTAAGAGTGTCTAAGAGACACCTTACCGCTCCTGCAGAGTACAATGTTCTCACGTTCCATGATCCAAATCGAATATCCTTTTTTCCGTAACAATTATTTTTTTTTTCCAGGGTAGGGTTGTTAGCCCTACGCCCAACCCCCAGACTTGGAGGACCAGAGACTCTTCTGTTAGGGTTACCATACCTTAGTCTGTTTTGGTTCGCGGGTGGTATTTTATTTCCCACCTACCTGCCGATACTGGGACCGGTTAGGGCGTTCCCCTATCCACCACCTGGGGACACTCCACATGGAAGGTAAAATAGTAGGCTTTGAAAATGACAGTTTTCATATTATTACGTTTTTGATCAATCTGTATGGCTTGTCTTTATTGTTAAAAATTATTTTTTCTGTAGAAGAGTTAACAGATATGATATGGTTATTAGGAGAAAGGTCGAGAAATTGCTTACTTGCATCTATAATATATCAAGAACCATATCCTGAACGGAGGACGCCAAACGCAAGAGCTTTTGAAAAATTAATGGATCATTTTGTTCGCACTGGGGCAGTTGTATATGAAAAAAATGAGAGAACCAACACTGCTCTAAGTGAAGAAATGATATATAATGTTCTGATAGATACTACTGAAGATCTCCACATCAGCACTTGTGAAATTTCATGTCAGTATGACATTAGTCAAACTTCAGCGACAAAAATCCTTCTTAAACATAAACTGCATGTGTACTGCAAACAGTTACATCAATAATTGACAGTTGATGATTATCAACGCAGATTAGCTTTTTGTCAATGGTCTAAGCAGCATGTGTAAAGAGTTTTTTCGATTATGTGTTTTTTTGAGATGAGGCTACATTTCACAAAAATGGAATAGTAAATTGGCATAATTTTCATTACTATGCATCAAGCAATCTTTATTTTGTTATCAAACACTCATAGTCAAACTAGGTGGTCTATAAATGTTTAGGGTGGGATTGTTGACGATTATGTGATTGGCCCACATTTTTTTGATGGTCGTGTGAATGGTGCCATATATCTAGATTTTCTAAATAATCATTTGCCAATACTACTGCAAAATGTACCGCTTAATATTCGACAATGAATGTGGTTTTTACACGACGGTGCTCTAGTTCACCACACTGTTTCTATTCACAATCATCTAAATAATAACTTTCCTGAGAGGTGGATAGGCAGAGGAGGACCAACTGTTTGGTCACCGCGATTACCGGAATTCTGAGAATGAAACAGAATAAGAAAAGCTTATAAAATTTAATTAATTTATTATTTAAATAAAATTGACTTACAAATGTTAAGAAATGTGGCTCTGTCATTTGAATATCATTTACAAACTTGTATATATGTTAAAGGTGGACATTTTGTACATTTACTTTAGACTTACTTCCTTAATATCACATTAATTGTTACATCCATTCCATATTGCTGTGGTTCATAATTTTTGTTAATTACGTATTGAATAAAAATAATTTTGTTATCACTCGATAAGTACTTATTTCTATTTACAAAAATTGAATGTATCTATGAAATTTGAAGAAAACTAAAAATATCTCGAAAGGTAATGAGTTTAGGTATAGGGAATTTTATATAAAAATGAAAAAGTATCATAAAAACAATATTTCTAAAAAATAAATTATAAGGTGATCCATTTAAAAAAATTGAGATGTTTTGTAGTTCACCCTGTATAAAAATGTTTCTCAATGATTTCAATTAAACTTAATTTAAAAACTACAATATATTGTTTACTTTATTATATAAAATAAATAATTGTTTATGCATTGCTTCTTTATAATACAAGGTGTTAATTTAATAGGGATTTCGAAATAAAAATTGCCATAACTTGTTAAATACTCTGTATAGTAATGCAAAACGTAATACACAATAAGAACAAGGATTATAAGAAGAATACAAATTTGAAAAAATATATAGGGTGTCCCATTTAAAAATTGTACATTTGCTATACCAGATAGTTATTAATCACCCTGTAGAATTTTCCAAGTATAAAGAATATCATTGCCTACATTGTTTTTTAATTTTTTGGATATTCTATACCATAATGGAATTATTGACTAATGTCGCAATAAAAACTCAACTTGTATGTATATATACAAAGAGCTGTAGTGCCAACGATGGTGATAATGATGTAATAAAATTTTTGAATACAGCTTACCTGCAAGAACTTTACGTTTAGAATGGATCAAATCATTTGACATTAAATTTTTAAACTTTGCTTTCACTAGGTTTCCAATAGTATCAGATAAGTGTTGATCTTGTACGGGATTTGAGGAAAAAGTAGGTGTATTCCCACCAGTATAATTTTTCAATTTACTTAAAGCAACAGTGGCAGCAGCTTCTGTTGCTGAGCTCTTATTACTTCCAGTTCCTGTAAAAGTGTCACCATTAATGTCTATTGTAACCTGAAACCTAGCATAAGGGTCACTTAAATCCTCTGTATATGTGAAATTAACAGAAGGATATAGTTCACTCAAAATAACTGAAGACTTTTTAAATAATTTGTTTTTGATATCATCTGATGTACTTATAACATCTGAAGTGGAAATATTTTTTAATGCTGTTGCTGCAGCTTCATATTTTGCAGATCGCTTTGTAGTGCCACTTCCATAATACTTTATACCATCTACTTCAACACAAATCTTAAACATAGGATAAAGTTCAGTAACACTATAATTCACATTTCCTTTTATTTCATTTAATGCTGATATTGGATTTTTTTCTAGACTGTAATTATTATTATCGCCATTGGGTGGTGAGTTTATTACCGAACTGGTTGGAGACTGTATTGATGTTAGAACACTTACAGCAGCATTGTATTTTGCTTCTGTTTTAGAATTCCCTATTCCATAATAATATGAATTATTATATTCAACACACATTTTAAAAAACGGTTTGTGGTAAGAACCCCATACATCTACCAATTTATATTCTAATCCACTTCTTAATCTGTTTAAAACTGAAATAGGGTGTTCAGAATTATTCGACTGAATTACTCCACTACAGTCATCTGCATACAACTCGTATTCTGGTTTATATTGGATTCCATTTAAATTAGTCTGAAAATTTGTCATGGAAAAAGGTTTTAGTGTTCCTTTTGCTATGTTTTCATTAGATTCCAGTACAGAATGGTTAGATGTTGTAGTCTTATTTTGGGAAAATTGAATAGAGGCCAGTGCACTAGTAGCTGCTGTATGTTTAGCTTCCTGTTTTGATTTTCCAATTCCATAATAGTCTTTACCATTAAGATGAACACACATTTTGAAAAATGGTTCATGACTAGAACCCCATTGGTCAACCAATTTATATTTTAATCCCTTTTTTATACAATTCAAAGCAACTATTGCATTTTGATAACCATTGTTACAAGTTGATGGTTCAGGTGATTTTACAGTTTTAATTAATGGGTTCGTATTATCAGATTTATGGACATTCTGATTACTTACTGTTTCATCTTTGGAACAGTGTATAGATTCTAATACTCTTCGAGCTGTGTTATGTTTAGCTTTATGTTTTGATTTTCCAATTCCATAATAATTTAATGGGTTGGTATTATGAGATTTATGGACATTCTGGTTACTTATTGTTTCATCTTTGGAACACTGAATAGATTCCACTGCTGTTTGAGCTATGTTATGTTTAGCTTCATGTTTTGATTTTCCAATTCCATAATAATTTAATGGGTTGCTATTCCCAGATTTAAGGACATTCTGACTACTTATTGTCTCATCTTTGGAACTCTGAATAGATTCCAATAATGCTATTCGAGCTGTGTTATATATAGCTTCGTGTTTTGATTTTCCAATTCCATAATATTTGAATGGGTTGGTATTACCAGATTTATGGGCCTTTTGGTTACTTATAGTCTCATCTTTGGCACACTGACGAGATTCCAATACTCTTCGAGCTGTGTTATGTTTAGATTCTTGTTTTGATTTTCCAATTCCATAATAATTTAATGGGTTGGTATTACCAGATTTATGGGCCTTTTGGTTACTTATAGTCTCATCTTTGACACACTGACTAGATTCCAATGCTCTTCGAGCTGTGTTATGTTTAGCTTCTTGTTTTGATTTTCCAATTCCATAATATTCTTTACCATTAAGACGAACACACATTTTGAAAATTGGTTCATGACTAGAACCCCATTGGCCAACCAATTTATATTTTAATCCCTTTTTTATACAATTCAGAGCAACTATTGCATTTGGATAACTATTATTACAAGTTGATGGTTCAGGTGATTTGATACAGGTGATTTGATTTGATGATACAGTTTCAATTGTGTTATTAGATTTATGTGCATTCTGTTTTGTTTCTACATGTTCTCTGGTGACTGCTGCATCCATTATAAAAGTTAATGTTTCTATAATTATGATTAATTTTGTAACATGTAACCACTAACTCTGTTTTGTTTTATAAAGAATCAACTCCCATTAGAATATAAATGCTGTGTCTGTCTATGTAGTTAAAATTTACCAAAGCTACTAGATAAAATCTTAACACATTAGAAGATTAATAAATCATTTTATCACAACACAGTCAACACACAGCTGATAAATAAAATAGTAGTTTTTTTACGAAATCCACAAATTCTACCCCGGATAAGACTTTTCATCAAAAAATATTATCAGCCGTTTTTTTCGAACAGACATTTTGTAAACAGACTGCAAAGTGCAAAATAAACAGTATTGTCTATTCGCTTAGCTTAGCTAGGGCCATCGAGCAATAAGACAATTGCTCGATGGCTAGGGCACAGAATAATAAACAAACAGAATACCCACTCTCCACGGAAAATTAAGTACGCGCATCTCCTCCGCGCAGACGTTCCGCCATGTTTTAGGAGGATTTTAAAGAAATTAGTGTTGTTTATGTGGTGTGCATGGAAAAATTAACCAGGTTTATTTGACTTACGGCAATCATAGACATACTATACAATTATATTAACATTGTTAAATATAATAACATAAATATAATATAATTAAACATAAATATAAACAATGACGTATAATATATAGACTACGCAGTCCCCTATTCTCGCTATAGAATCAAGTGTCCGAAAGATCTCGGCTCAAGGTTGAAGGTATGTTTATCACAACAGCGGCGTGCTCATTTATATGTTAATGACAATAATTATTTTTTTAATTAAAATTAAATATTTATGATTTCTTTTTGTTCCCGTTTATAAGAGAAATAATTATTTTGATAAAATAGTATGGCATTTTACTAAAATAGTAAGTAAATAACTCTCAACAATTTAAAATAAAATTTGCTTGTCACACAAAATGGAGAAAATGTTTTCATACGTCCATGATGTTTTAAACACAAGATCAACTTCGTGATGCTTCGTAAGAAATCATGAACTTCGTGCATCTTCGTATCAAAACAATAAACAATAACAAAGGTATTCATGTTTTGGACACTTTTTAAAGCGTTCACCGAAAACAATTACATAACCACACAAATCATATGTCTGTGTCCTCCTAAAACATGGCGCGCGTGCTGAAAAACTTCAAAGGCGGCATCTGAGAGTGGCCCTTCTGTTTGTTTATTATTCTGTGGCTAGGGCATATTTTGACAGACTCATTGTAGGAAACCTACAACACAACAATTCCTACTTCTCAGTATAAATAGCTCAAGTATACTACTATTGCAGACCTTTTTCTTTGAAAAAAAGAATAATTATTCTAAATAGTGGAAGTGTATACTAAACCCATCAAATTTTCGCTGTATATTTAAAATATAATATTTGAATTGTTACAATTTAAAATATTGTAGTAAATATTTGTATTATTCGCGTTGTTTATTTAATTTAATATAGTTTTATTATTTTTGTTTAATTCTTTTGTTAGTTCTATTCAGTTAATTAGTTAGTTATATTTTAAATTTTATTATTATGGATAGTCAAAGTTTTCCATTTGTTCCATGAGCTAATGCGTTGGTAAGTTTTTCTTAATAAATATGATAAAATGTTTTTTAAAAAGTTTTTTTTTTAAGTTAATATTTTTAGATTAGTAAGGATGCTGTTCTACCTTGTCCTTGCATTAGACGTGATACACCTTGTAGCAAAATATCGAAATTGTAGCTTAATAAGGAACGCGGGAAAAATTTTTTTTAAACCATCTAATATGAACATTTTGTCATTTTGTTTTGGTCAAAATATCGAATATACTGCAAACTGACGAAAATGAAATATTCGATATTTGTGTTTTGTATGAATATAACCAAAGGCATATTTGTACAACGCAAAATGACGAATGTGCCACAATGATTAGTTTCAGTGTGGTAATTGATACAGTCATTCAATAATAATCTGCAAACTGTCGAAAATACTAAAGATTGTTGACAAGAACAAAACGCATGTGTTCACAATGGTGTGAATTATTGCTTCCAAAAAGTTCTTTCGGTGAGGCACTTTATCATTTGGTTTTTATCGGTTTCTCATTATCTGATTACCTATTTATAGGTATAGCTAAATCAGAAACAGTGAAGCAAAAAAAGCAAAAAGAAAAGATGCAGCGAGAAAAAAAAAAGAGATGAAAATAAACAGTCGGCTTTGGAGAATAGAAAAATATTAGCATTTAATTTCGATCTTCAATTTGTTTGGTCAACGCCTAAAGGAGCTGCAGGACCTTGTGTTTATGTGAGAAAACTTTTTATAATTCAACGATTTATTATTTAAGAGAAGGGAGCGTGCAGTGTTTCATATTGGATGAAACCGAGGTAAAACGCGGTGGTACTGAAATTGCTACATGTACATTTAAATACATCATGTCTTACCCTGATATTAAACATGTCAAAAGTGATGTCCGACAATTTCGGAGGACAACAGAAAAACTTTGCTTTTTCTGCCATGTGTCAATATGTTGTTAATTGTCAACAAAATTTAAAAACAATTGACCATGTGCTTTTTGTACCGGGTCACTCAGAAATGGAATGTGATTCTGTCCATTTAAAAATAGAATCTAACTTAAAAAATTCCCCTGTATAGGTATACCCTTGAAGGATGGGCACAAATCATAAGACTTGCACGCACTAAGCCATGCCCGTTTGAAGTGACATACCTACTTCATAACGACTTCTTAGATTTCAACATATGAAAGGTGACATTTGCACTAGAAAATAAATTAAGACCAAAGAACAAGCAAAATCAATATGAAAAAAAAATGAAGTAAAAGGTGAAGAGCAAACAAGTAATACTAATTTTAAATATAGTGATGGTATATCGTACCAGTATCGGCAAAATGAAAATAAATTTTTATGAAGACTAGAATTGATGAAAACATTTTATCTCTTGAAACCAAACAAAAAAGAGGGAAAGAAAATAGTATAAACGTGTATGTGAAGAAAACTTATTACCTAGGCCATACCACCAATATAACCAATCTTTACAAACATCTAGTAGTGATAGAGACATCGAGCAATAAGACAAAAGAGGGAATCTAATCCTTATGAAAAGGAGACCAAAAAAGTGGCCTCTGATGGCGGACATATCCGGAAATGCGAATGCGCCAAATTTAAATTTTCCGACACTTATCAACAGTAGCTATATAATATTTCGCAGAATCTGTCTTAGACGAGAAAGTTTTAATTAATTATTAATGATAAGACTCTAAAATGCGACACAATTGTTAAAAAACTTCAATATAAATAAGATTTCATGTGACATTTGGGACAAACAATAACATAACCCAACTAAATTTGATGTCAAACAAGGAGAGAGACTCTCTTTCCTTGTTTAATGTGGCCTCTAAAGATCGCACTTCCTGTCTAACAATATCTTTGCCCCCACTACCTTTACATTCCCTCTATTGTCTTTTTGCTCGATGGATAGAGACTGTCTTCAACCTGACGCAACTGAAGACAACGATAACGTTTAATTCAAAATTTAAAACTTTTAATTTACCATTATTTTACAACAATTGAAGGTCATGATTGAGTACTTGAGGTATCTAGAGGTCGTGAAGTTCCATAATTAATGTTTTTTACGTTTCTAATTACATTAATTTTCTAGCAATACATACTTTCATAAAAATACTTTTTCCGCAAATCGCCAGGAAATTTTGACATTCCTGTCAAAATTTCTTGAAGAAAAAGTCAGGACGTCCTTACTGTAAGGAAATGTCATTTCCTTACTGTAAGGAAATGATATTTCCGTACAGTTGTTAGTGTTCTACATAAATGATATGTAAGTTTGACAATTCAACCTCAATACGTTTCCATAGTAACCCAAGTAATTTTATTAGAAATTTCAAAGCACCATTTATTTGGGAATAAAATTATCGCGTTTTTTTTTAAATCAATCAATATCTGTCGAATTTTAAACGATTTGCGGAAAAATAGTATGTTTACCTCGTAGGAAAAGCCACATTCCTGGACTCTGTGTTGCTAAGTCTCGGCTTGCGCCTCGACCATCGAGCAAAAAGACAATAGAGTGAATGTAAAGGTAGTGGGAGCAAACATATTGTTAGACAGGAAGTGCGATCTTTAGAGGCCACTTTAAACAAGGAAAGAGAGTCTCTCTCCTTGTTTGACATCAAATTTAGTTGGGTTATGTTATTGTTTATCCCAAATGTCACATGAAATCTTATTTATATTGAAGTTTTTTAACAATTGTGTCGCATTTTAGAGTCTTATCATTAATAATTAATTAAAACTTTCTCGTCTAAGACAGATTCTGCGAAATATTATATAGCTACTGTTGATAAGTGTCGGAAAATTTAAATTTCGCGCATTCGCATTTCCGGATATGTCCGCCATCAGAGGCCACTTTTTTGGTCTCCTTTTCATAAGGATTAGATTCCCTCTTTTGTCTTATTGCTCGATGGCCTCGACTTAGCAATCTTCACAGTCGTCCAGGAATGTTAAGCTTTTCCTACCCGGTAAACAATGTACTATTAACAGTTTTCTTAAACATAATTTTCCCATTTTATTCTACAACTTTAATTTTTATTTAAATTATTTGTAATAAACTTTGTAAGAACATTAAAATTATTTTAATTTTCCTCATTGCACCAAATGAATGTGTTAAAATTATACCAATATAAACTGTCGAAAATGCCACATTCGCAATTTTGAGGCATTGTACCCAAACAAATCGATGATTATCACAAAAAGCAAAGTATCGAATGTGATTTTTTGGAAAGAAAAAAACAGTAAACAGTTTAATTTTGTTATAAATCTAACAAGGATTAAACATTAAATATAAAAAAAAATAAAAAAATTTCGATTTATCAAGGCGCTGATTTAGGATTCTCTAAAAAAGAGTTATCTTGCTTTCCTGAAAAGTACTATCTTACACGTTCGATAATTGGAAATGGTAGGGACGATGTTAGTATAATACATTTACATAGATAATTATAAAAACAACAATTAAAACCAAATAAAGCAAGTAACACGTAATTGTGGGCTATAAAACGTCCTTTAATAGAGCTATAAAACGGATTTATAGGTACCCTGCAAATTTTAAATCGCTTCTACTTCAAAACTAGGCAAAATGACTTTGTGCTTTCTTACCAAGGTCAAAGGTATAATAACAAAGATCTTCAAATATTTAGGAGTAATAACAACAAGAAACTTGTGGACATCGTAGAAAATGTAACAACGTTGTTGTACCCGTATAATAACAAGTTCTTCAGAATGAACAAAGGGTAAAAAAAATAATAAAATATACAGTATAAAATTCTATATTATTTAAAACGATATTAACTTACAGTAGTAAGTAGTAAGTACAGTAAAACCTCGATATAA